TTTTTTTTTTTCATAATTAAGTAAATTACGTTAGCCTTAATTTAATATAAGTAGTTGTATAATAAATGAGCTGGATACCCCCCAAAACGGCCTCGACCGTTTCCTCTCCATAGGTGGACGGGCGGTGTAAACTGCCGGGGTGATATGGTGAACGGCATAGAGACCCCTTCCCATGAAATTAGTTTCTTACAATGGTATATGGTATTTTATTTTCGTGTAGAATAAATGCAAAAAATTAAATGTTGAAAATTACGTAGTTCGTGATATGTCCATAATATGTAAATGATAAATTTTGAAACTCTATAAGTAGTGTTAAAATTATATTATCTTAATATTACCAAAAGAGCACAGTAAAAAAATAGTCAAAAAAAAGGTGTGATAGTATATCAAAGCAATAAAGTTTCATGTCACATTCAAGAAATTATTGACGCGTTAGATGAAATATTATATACTACACATGATCCGCTAATTAAAAATCACACTAATTTATTAAATTCGGAGATTAGTACAATAGAAATCCTTATGAGTTTATATATTTGGTGTAAAGTATTTATATACTACAGCATAGTAGTCGAAGAATCAACAATATCTATTGATGTAATAAACTTTATGAAGAAAAGTAATGGAGCTTTTCAGAACTTAGCCATTGCTCCTAGGATTTTATTACGAGTCCCAATAATTTAATATACTACAGAACGCAGAATAAATCAAAGAAATTAAAATAGTGTTGAAAATTACGTAGCTTGTGAATTTTCCATAATACGCAAATTGTAAATTTTGTAAATTCTATAAATAGCGTTAAAATTATTTCTCCATCATAAAATTTTTACCTGACGTTTTAATTGCCTAAAGGAAAGTACTATATAAATTTGAAAAAAATTCGTTCAGTCACTTTTGTGTAATGAGATGATAAAGATGGCTATTTTCAGCAAACCTTGAATGTTCAAGACCGTAAAACGATATAAAAAAAATTATAAATCGATTGATATGGGTTAAAAGAACATTACTAAAAGTTTCTGAAAAGAAAAAAAAATTTTAATAAAAAAATTTTTTGACCTTCAACAAATTTTGCTATTAAAATACTGCAAAATTTAAAAAATTTAAATCAAAATTTCGATGTTCAAAAAAATTCAAAATGTATAAACTTAAGAATGAAATTTAAGTACTATTTAATATGAGTAAAACAGTGCTAGTTCCACAGTGATAGCTTATTTGGATGTGAAGTTATAGGCTCTAGAACATAGGCTGTTTTTTCATGTTTTTAATTATAAAAAATGCGCTATCTGGTAAAAAAATAATAATAAAAAAAAAATATTATTTTTGTTATCAATAACCTTTAAGAAGTCTATGATATAAATTTCTGAAGTATACCAGCACACACGTTAGGTGATTTCACATGGAATGACCCATTATTATAGAGTGTTTATGTTAAAAAATTGGTTTATTAATAATTGAAGGGTCGGCGGGAATAACGTGCTATGTAACAATTTGTAAATTGTTCAGTATCAAGTAAAAACAAAATTACTTAAGTTATTTCGTTTAAATATTATTTGGACTGCACGTAGCACGTTCTTCCAACTTTAAACATAATCGAATATCTAATTCTATAAATATATTGAGATAGACTCATAGCACGTTATTCCCGCCGACCCTTCGATTGTCAAGTAATGTGACTATTAAGAAAATATTGTTATACTACCTGTTACTATTAATAGTGTAATCATAAATAATAAAAATGTTTGACTTCGACCTGATGCCGAGAAGGTATTAGTTTTACTATGATGCGTTTTATTGTTTATTTACCTAAAAATTCATATATAATTACTGAATGTGTCATAGATTATTATATATATAATTATACATGTGAGAGGGGGAGTATTAGCTATGAACAGGTATAGATCATTAAGTATAGTTTTTAATATAAATACCGTATTTCACCACCTCAAAATGAATCATTTGTTTACTTGCAACACTTTATGCTGAACAAGTACGCATACAAACTAGCATTTAATCAATTAACCAGCGTATTCAGTCATAAACAAAAAAGAAAATTAGTACGATCGAAAATTTGTACAAGAAATGTATTATGGATTTCAATGTCACAAGTGAGTAAAATAAATTGATAATAGTATTCTTCATATATCGTTAACATATATTTTAAATGTAAAAATAGGAGATTACAATTTTAAATATTGTAATTGTGAATCAATAAATGTTATCAACATAGGGCATTATTAAGAGATGTCTACCATACCGGACAATGTATCAACATTTGGGCCGATGTAGTGATCAATTATTTCGTTAATAATGCTGAGTACGAAAAACATGAGGCGATTATTAATGAATTAATTGAACGCTCATCGGTCGATCTGGAGATTTATTTGCGTGAATTATATGAAAGACTGTTTATCTCAAAATCTGATTATGGACGCCAACGTTGGCTTGGCGGTGGAAAATTTATTAGTAATACTTATAACAATAAAATTAAAACTAGAAGTTATTGGACTACACTCATTTTTTTTATAAATGTTGAAAATTATGTTTACTTAGACTATTTTAATTGTACAGAAAGATTGAGCTTATTTACAGGCAGCA